CAGGATGGTACTAAAAGTGCCATTTGTGTATTTTATGGATGTCATTACAGGGGAAACTTCTCTCTGTAGGCCCTGTTTACTGCAAAATTTTTTAGTCTGTAATGACATTTTTCATTCACAACGTATGCCTTCAAGAGAGGGGGCCCTTGTTTTATTTTTTTCATTCGGGTTTACTGCACAAATTCTGTACATTTTAATTAAATGTAAGCTTAACAAAAGCATAAGGTATTTATTCTGTAGGAAAAAATGATGACAGTAAGGAAAAAACAGCACGCGCACACCAAGGAGGCAGTCAGGTACCAGCCCTGTGTCGCCCCCAGAAGCACACCGGACGGCACAGGGGAGCCCTGAGCACAGTTTTGGGGAGTGGAGTCTCTGCAGCTTAACCCCTCCACCCCCCATAATGGAGCTTGTGCTTTTCCACGCTGGAGACGTTGGCTTCAAGAACGCAGAAGGAGCCACAGCTTCATAACGGCATTCCAGAGCAGCCAGCTGACCTCGAAATCCTCTCTCCAAAAGCAAACCCTCAGACTCCCCAGTAACTACCTGTTTATTCTATCCAAGCTGTGAACTTTCAATGCATTCGGCTCTGAGAAGGGAGTAAAATCTCTTGGTGCTCGCAAAAGCAAACGGGCAGAAAGTGGGGACTTTGTATTTGGGCACGAGGCTGCATTTTCATGTCACTTGTGCCTTCTACACAAAGAAGCTGCTTAATGCCCTATTGGAAACAGACCCAGAATGAATGATTTTAGGCACACCATTTGGTTAGCTACTGTTATTTTACTGAAATCCAACAGTGTCTTTTTTAAAAAGGTACTGACATACAAACACTACATTCAGCACCCGTGCTCCATTAAGGCTTGTGCGATTTTGGAGCCATAACAGTGACTAAGCAGGAAGGATGCACCCTGTCCCACGTGCCTGTTTTCCAAACACTCCATGCATTCGGCCATTTGCATTTGGTGAGCTTTACAGTTTATATTTACTAGAAAGAGCTCGAAAATGGAAGTTGATGTGCCCAGCAGATTCTTGGTCATAGCCCAGTTAGAGTTTAAAGTTACAGAAGAGATTCACATTAGTTTAAATGACACTTGAACTTCTACATGGCTCAACATTAATTCATTATGGTTGAAATGGAAGAATCTTCAGTGGGTGAATCTTTTTCAATCTGATTGAGGCTGTTACATTTTATAGGTGCTATTTTTCAAAGCAGTACTGACAGCACTCGAAGTTATTAAATTGCTGAATCAAAAGATGGACCTGCACTCGCATTTATGAACTGTGATGGACTGACTGGTTTGTGCGGCACGGAGGTGAAGACGTTGGTGTTGCTAGGCTTCATCACACGCCATACTGACAGCAGTATTTACCCATGCAGTTTACTTTAATGGTCTGGAAGTGGCTTAACCCACCTCTGGATTCAAATAAATTCAGTAAGTAGTTCAGAATAGCATAATTATCAGTGCTGCAAGGGATTCAAAGGATAATTCTACACCCAAGAGATTTTCTGTCCAGTTGCAGAGTAAAGAACAGAATTGCTTGGACTGGAGCATCCACCATTTCTTCCCTCGACTACCTAAGAAGAGGATGTTTGCTCTTTCTTTCCCAGCTACAGTAGTTTCTTCCATCTTCTAATGTACCAGCAGTTTGTCCTTTTCTGTAATTAAAATGAATAGGAGAGGGGAATGACTGGGGAGGCTGCCTTCTTTGTTTTTGTGTCCTTATTTCTCTTTTTTAATAATGCTGAATTAGGCTAAAAATGACATTTAAAATAGAGAACAGACAGAAACAAATCAAGGATGATGTGTGAAGATGGCTCTGGGTAAAACAGTAGGGACTGGGGAGAAATTGCAAGCACACCAGAGAAAGAACTTGTCAAGTACAGGAGACAAAGATCTCTACAGGTCCCAGCAAATGGCAAAGTGACCGGGGACCAGCCACACGTGCCCGGCTTACGTTAGGTGCAAAGGGGGCATGAATACAAGAGTTGTGTGCCACCCTCGAGGCTTCTGACCTCTTCTAGGAGAGAATGTAGGAGGATCAAAGTTAGGAAGACAGCCGTGAAACCGGCAGCAATTCAGCCCCTGCCCCGGGACCTGCACGCCCACCCCCTCTCAGCTTAGCTTTTAAACTCTGATCTTCCCTAGGGCAAGGCACCAGGCGGGGCTGGGCACGGGTTGTTTCTTTCTGCAAAGTGGAAAGAGAGGGGCAAGGTAGGTAGGAAGGAGCTCTGTCTCCAGGCACATGCCCAGGCAGACCCTTTCAAAGGCTCTACATTGGTTCCCTCAAAACTCTTTACCACCCGTGACCTTTGGAAAGTCTCCAAGCATCCGCACGGCATGTGTACACAGGTTGAATACCTGTAACTGCTACCACCAGACCTCAGGAAGAGGAAGTCATGTTCAGGAAGTGCCTGCTACCTGCAGCACACAGAAGGGAAGCCAGCAGCCCCACTGAGTGGTGCCCAGTTGTTCTCTGTCCTTGGTTGGGGGTAACCAAGAGAAAACAGGGTGCACTATAATTAGGGAATTTGCTCAGCTAGACTCATAAACATTTTGGACCCTCTTCCGGGAAGGGTAAGTCGGTCTTGAAGATGCAGTGGTTTCCTCTGCCTGACACATGGGCGAGGCCAGGCCTGGCTCCCCCTGCGGTTTGCTAGCCCGACTACATCTGCTCATGCTCGGGTTCCGTGGGTGCAGGGCAAGGACACAGGAGTACCTCCTGGTAGCTCTTTTCTTGACCTAAAATTCCGTAACCTTTCTAAGATTCACACTTTACAGAGTTCCCTGAGAAAGTACTTAACAGTTAATTAATACTTTCAAATCCAGGACCGTACACCTCCAGCCTGGGTAAGAGCTGGGGCGTGTCCTCTTGGTTAACATGGTTTAACCATTTCCGCTGATCCTGCCTGAGATGTACCCACGGGAAGACAGGCCTTGTCTGGGGTCTGTGCTCAAAATTAACTCGGTATTGAAAGAAATGCTTTCTTGTGGAACACCACCAACATGATAAGCAAAACCGTTGACTCTATTCTGAAGAGATGCTAGCAATAAATAATCTCTAACAATTCTTACTCCTTTTTTCCCTTTTGGTAAGGTTAAAAAATGCTGTTAAGAAACTGACCCCCTTAAAGACAATAGAGCAGAATATTTCAAAAATGTGGTAGCTGTTGAGATACGGAAATGTTCGCTATAGATCATCTGTAGATCCTTCTCTTATTTGAGAAGGATGGAGTTTGATTCAAAAACTGATGGAAAACTGGGATTTAAAGAAGACAACAGGGAGTCTGTTTAAAGAGTCCATTTCTTTTTTATGAAAATAAAGTTGGCCATTTCCAGCCCTGTTTTACCCGCAAGGCAGGGAGCGGCAGCATGGCTCTGAGTCGCCAGTGACATTGAGGAGGCTGTGAATTGCGCCTTGGCGTGTGCCCTCGCGCAGTGCCCATCCCCACCGTCCTTGTGCCACCAGAGTTTTCTTTGTGCAGCACAGATGGCGGCTGAAGTCCCTGGCCCAAGAGCTCCGGCAGCAGCCCAGGCCTTTCAGAATCCCGCTGCCCACCAGAGCCCCGGGCACCAGCCACCCGCCCTGGGTATCCTGTTGACAAAGGGCAGACTGTGAAGGGCACAGGATGGCCCGAAACCAGGGATATGCCCAGCTCCGGCGCTCCCCTCCTCACTCTCGTCCCCGCTCACCCCTTCTTTTCTCTCCTGGTCTCCCCTTATTGCCTCTGCCCAGGCACCCAGGGGCTTATGGTATTTTCCACACACGTTGTTTTTACTAAGGCATCTGGGGCTGGCACTTCAGATCCTAAATTTCTCACCCTCTGTTACAGTCCTGCAATTTTCCTGCTGAAAACATCCAGCCACTCCTTCTCTCTGCAGCCCATGGCCCAGGTTTCTTAGTGCAGGGCAGAGGAAGCCTGGGGCAGCCCGCTCTGAGATGAGCAAATTCTTCTCCGGACAGCCCCAGCCTTCTGCTGTCCCAAGGCCTGGAAACACCATGGGGACGGCCTTCCTGCCTCTGCCTGGCCCCTCGCTGCTTCTATCTGGGAGGCCTTGTCCTCCTAGCCCTCAAGAGATGGCTTGAATCTTGTCCCCAAGACAGAGTTAGAATGTCGTTTCTTTTTGCATCTTCACCTGAATATTCTTTCCTGAATGTGCGGCTCGTCTCTGTGCAGTGCCTGTCTCCTTACGTTGTATCGCAGACATTCGGCAAACACATCTTTGTTGATTATTTGCTCCATGCCAGGCACTGTCCAGAAGATGGACAGAGAGAAGGAATGTGAGTCTGGCCCCTCGAAGCCCACCACGCAGTTCCGCAGTGTGGACTCCCCTCTCAGTCCCTGAGCACTCAGCACCTGCAGAGGGCTCTGCAGCTGCCAGGATACGTGACTCACGTGGCCGCGCAGGCTGCCTGCCTCGGTTCAGTGCCTGAAACATTGTCGATCTTCAATAAATATTTGTTGCATTAAACTTTTACAGCTGTGTTTATTGATATTTTAAAAAATTTAATATGCAAGGCTTTCATCCCTTTTGTTGAATAAACAAATATACCATATATAATATTTGGTCATTAAAAAAAGATTTTCCGTTGGGTTAGGAGGTACTGCTGCTGGCTGTTTGCTGAACTTTACTTACCACCCATGACTGAATGCATTGTTACAAAAGAAATGATGGTGGCAGGGAGGAGGGGGTCCAGCCCCTTCCCCAGGCACTGGAGAGGCACACACCCTTGCAAAGAGTTGTATTGGACAGCTCACCCAGGGCTGGGGACTTGCACATCCAGCATTAGCTGTGTGTGCCCTCCAGCCGAGAGTCCGCCTGCAGACGGTCATGGAGGCCTCTGGCCCCACTGACACTTGCACTGTAGAGAGCTCCTCGGGGTTTAGAATGGGGGCCGTGGTGTCTCTGCCAAGGCCTTAATGCTTCTGCGGAATTGGTGTCTTTCTTATAAGCCTACAAGTCCTTTTCCCAGACTCTAACTGGTCCCTGTCTCCCTAGGCATTGTTTCCAAGTCCTATGAGTGCCGTCTGAAGGGCCAAGGAGCCACCTTCGTGGAGACAGACAGCCCCTTCACCGCGGCAGCCCTGGCGGAAGAGCCGCTCGTCAAGGAGAAGCCCCTGAGGAACAGCAGGAGGCCGGCGCCACCCCCTGAGCAGGTGCAGCAGGTCATCATCTTCCAGGGCTACGATGGGGAGTTTGCCCTGGATGCCTCCGTGGAGGAGACAGCCGCCGCCACGCTGCAGACACTGGCCATGGCCGGCCAGGTGGCCCGGGTGGTGCACATCACGGAGGATGGCCAGGTCATTGCCACCAGTCAGAGCGGGGCACATGTGGGCAGCATGGTGCCCGGACCCATCCTCCCTGAGCAGCTGGCCGACGGAGCCACCCAGGTGGTCGTCGTGGGAGGCTCTGTGGAAGGCCACGGCATGGATGAGTCCCTCAGTCCAGGTGGCGCTGTGATACAGCAGGTGACCAAGCAGGAGATTTTAAACCTCTCGGAGGCTGGAGTGCCCCCTCCCGAGGCGTCGTCAGCCCTGGATGCATTGCTCTGTGCTGTCACTGAGTTAGGGGAGGTGGAGGGCAGGGCAGGGCTAGAGGAGCAGGGCAGGCCCAGCCCCAAAGACGTGCTGATCCAGCTGCCTGGGCAGGAGGTCTCCCGCGTGGCTGCCAACCCTGAGTCCCCCGAGATCCAGATGTTCCCAGAGGCCCAGGAGACCCCGGCCACCATGGAGGTGCTCACCCAAGTGGTCCGCCCCTCAGCGGCCATGGCCTCTCAGGAGCGGGCACAGGTGGCCTTCAAGAAGATGGTCCAGGGCGTCCTCCAGTTTGCTGTGTGTGACACGGCTGCGGCCAGCCAGTTGGTCAAGGATGGTGTCACCCAGGTGGTAGTGAGCGAGGAGGGTGCCGTCCACATGGTGGCTGGGGAAGGCGCCCAGATTATCATGCAGGAGGCACAGGGCGAGCACGTGGATCTGGTGGAGTCGGATGGGGAGATCTCACAGATCATCGTGACAGAGGAGCTGGTCCAGGCCATGGTGCAGGAGTCCACCAGCGGCTTCCCCGAGGGCGCCACACACTACATCGTGACAGAGCTGCCGCCAGGGGTGGAGGACGAGACGGGCGTGTACTCCCACACTGTGCTCGAGGCCACAGACTCGCAGGAACTCCTGCAGGCTGGGGCCACGCTGGGCACAGAAGCCGGGGTCCCAAGTGGGGCGGAGCAGCTGGCCAGTGTGGTCATCTACACACAGGAGGGCTCCCCGGCTGCAGCGGCCATTCAGAGCCAAAGAGAAAGCAGCGAACTCCAGGAAGCGTGAAATGTGGCACCTTTACTCAGCACAGGGCAGGTTGGGAGGGTTCAGCTCCAGTGGGGCTGTGTGCCTTGAGCTTCCTCTGAAACCTTCAAAACCATGAGGATGAGGCTTCTGTGAGCCCTGAGTGTGCACTCCCAGCGAGAGTCACACCGGCCACCAGCAAGGCGCCCACAGAGGGTACCATGGGCTGGGCCTCAGAGAGCCAGCTGCCGAGTGCATGGGAGGGCTGGCCACGGGCCGCAGCGGGGAGCTCCAGTCCACCGGGGCACTTTGGTCAATGGCCTCCCCTTTGTCCTGGCCGTTGTGCTGAAGAGAAGCCAAGTGTTGGTGGTTTTTTCCTCTCACAAGTGTTTTCCCATTTCAGTTATCAGAGGGTCGTGGCCGTGGGAAAGGGTGAAGATGCCCCTCGTGGCCAGGGTGCGTCTGCTCGTGTAGTCAGCATGCAGCTGCCTTTACATTTCATTCTGCACTGGTTTAAAAATCGCAGCCGCAAGTGTTACCATCTTGAAGCAGTCCCTTCCCATGCTTTTTTTTTTTTTTTAATTTCAGAGTAACAGTGTCCCCAGACCAAAGGAAGCCTACTAGCTCTTTCATGTATAAATTTCCCCTCTTCAAACAGTTTTGGTGGATTCATTGCTCTGGTCACATTCTGCATAAAAGAAATCCTCTTAAGCCTATGGTTAAAAAAAAGCCTTGAAGTTTCTATTCAATTAAAATATATGTTGGTAAAGATATCCAATGCTTCTAATTTTGACTTAGTTTCATACAATAAAGCCTATATATGAAACGCACACTCTGGAAGATATTGTTTGTATCAGTATTTTGCTTTTTATAACAAGGGTTTGTTCATATGATATCATTTTGGCAGGATTTCTCTGTGATTTCTGTCCATTTGAAAATGCTGACATTAAACATTAACACATGGAGACTGTGCCCTGTGGCCCCTGCCGTGGCCCGCCAGTGTGGTCTGGGTTTCCTTGTGGATTCCCCTATGGCCCCTGCCGTGGCCCACCAGCGTGGTCTGGGTTTCCTTGTGGATTCATCTGTGGCCCCTGCTGTGGCCCACCAGCGTGGTCTGGGTTTCCTTGTGGATTCCCCTATGGCCCCTGCCGTGGCCCGCCAGCATGGTCTGCATTTCCTTGTGGATTCACTGCAACTGTTGGATGAAAGTTTATGTTGCAGTCATTTGTTTCCTGATAAAATTGCTCATATTCTTTTCCAAAACTGTAAAATACTCTTCCTCAAATGCAAAGGTTGTTTTGTTCTGTTTGTTTTCTTTGAAATAAAATTATAGCATTAAAAGATCGCAATGGCATGTTACTTTCAGCAGCCAGTTGTGGGCAGCTGTGACAACCGAGGGGCACCCTGGCGCCTGTGGCTGGCGGCTTCTCGCTGCTTCGTGGCCTCCGGACGACGCTGAGTGCTGCCATGCATCCCCTGCAGCCTGATACTGTTTCTCAGCATCTGGCAAATGGCCCAGACGCATTCTGGTGACAATAACATATTCTATCATGGATAGCATCTAGAAATCACACACACAAAAAAAGCAGACATGAGAGGAAAGGAGAATGGTCCCTTCTTTGTTTAAATACAAGCACCGCTGAAAATCTCTTCCTGAGAGAGCATGGGGACCAGCCCACACTTTGACCAGTTTGGAAGCAGAACCCACCCCTTCCCAGTGCCCTTCTCACTGCGGAGCTCTGTCCACTCTAGGCCACCTCCCTTTAGACAGCCACCCCTCCAAAAAAACAACTAAAGGTAAAATTTCAGGGCTGACACTGAGATCCGTAATTAGCTGAGTGTGACTGCTCTTGTTTCTTAACAATGGCAGGGCCATTCAGGACTTCTTAAGCACTGTCTTCAGCAAACAGTGACAGGATCAAGGTGACCTTTACAAAGTGATGGCCCTCGCCAGGCTTCTCATACATGTTAAAAAAAAAAAAAAAAAAAAAGGAGGGGGGATGTTTTTCCGTGGAAATATTTCTTCTTGATCAGTCCTCCCGTTAGCGGTAGTCCGCGGTCCTCAGCTTGGATGCTAATTCCTAACCGTGCTTAGTCCTGTATGGCTAACCTTTCTGCTGCAGTCCAGGGTGTTGACACTGACATGCTGCAGTTTACCGTTTGTGATTTATTTAGGATAAATATGTCTCAGGTGGCATTTAATCCTTCATAAAACCAGTGTAGCCTGCAGTGTCAAACCAGCAATCACGTTGTATGCACAATGAAAAGAGCAGGCCTTTGCATAAAAAAAAATTGTACAGAAGGTGTTTCTAGGCTCAGAAGGATTGCAGAGGCTTCACTAAGCCATTGTATCCTGTAATTACCTATAGAGTTAGGTTAATGTTACCTCTCTCTTCTCTCTCATTACACAACTATTGGAATGTAAAGGTGTTTAAGAAGCACATACACAAATGTGTGCCTCAGAATAATGAGGCATAGCAGGTTTTGTGAGCAAGGGACATTCATTGTGGCATGGATGGTCTATGAAAAAGACACAAGCTTATGGCTTTCCTTGTGATTTTTGCCAGAGAATATGACAGAACTTTAAAGTTAAAAAAAAAAAGAAAAAAAAGGGCAAATGAAATATTTACTTCGAGACTAATCCAGAAAGGCCACATTTGTATTAAGCTGCAGCCAATTAAATGGTGGAGCCTCAAGGACACCCTGCACGCAAGGAAGATCAGACTGCCCGAGGCAGCGGGGAGACGTGGTTTAGACCTCAGCTGCCGTGGCGGAAGTCAAGCGGTGCTCTCTGTACCCGCTAGAGAGTTACAGAGCAAGATAGTTTCCATACAAAGGAAGTTGTAATCACGTGAGGTCACGTTCATGAAACAGACTCAAGCAGGCATCATTCTGGGACGCCAGGCCTCACCAAGCAGTTGGCATGGAAGAAGCAGAGAAGATGCTGGCCTAAAACGTGTCCCACGCACCACAGAACAAGCAGGCAAGCTCGTGCCACCTAATACAGAAATCCTTCTGCTACATGGTTTGCTTTGAGGAACCAACTAAATGTGCCAAGGTTCTGTCAGTGCGTTGCAGGAAATTCCAAAGTCATCTATAAACTCTGTTCAGAAATGGGACCCCAGAATATCACCGAAAAGCCAGAGCTGGGCGGTAGTCACAGTGGTAAAACCAGATTTATTCAGGAAAATGGCAGTGGGGGAAAAAATGTCCTGGGCACATAACTGGGCTCGGTTCTGAATAAGGGAGCAGGCAGAGGTTTAGAGCCAGGAAGTGTGGGGTGGGGGCTGGTGTTTGGAAGATGACTGGAAGGATGGATGCATGGGGGAAGGGGAGTCACCTAAACCCACCGGACTGGTTCTTGCTAAAGCCGGGCCAGGCCATCAGATTCCACCTGATGCGGAGGGGGTGATGCAGGATAAGGAACCTGGTTAGATCTCCAGCGCCACCAAACATGGTGGGTTAGGGTTAGGTTCTCACCAGAGTTTCTGGCTAAACCCATTTGGCAGGGTTCTTTCTGAAGCTAGATTTTACAAGGAAGTACACAAATAGGAAAGTTCAGTTAAGCAAAGCTCTATCAAAAGTCCTAGGAGGTGGACAGTGAGGCGTCATCTCCACCCGATGGCCTCGAGGGGCACAGTGAGGACTCCGCAGGGCCAGGCAGCCCCAGCCCACATCTGCTGTAAGAAGCGTGGGGTGGCTCCTCAGGGGGCATTTGTGCCCCAGTCCTACCAAACTTCTTTTTCGTGGACAAAAGATAAAGTGATGGCGTCAGGAGAGCATCCGAGAGCCAACTGGGAATTCTGACCCAGAGCTGGTTCTAGGAAGAGAACTAGGGAACGAGAAAGGTCATTCACTTAGCAAACTAAAAAAGCTGCTTCTACTGTTTAATATTAGCCCATAATTTAAGAGAGCGCACAGCTCACTTAAGCAACCTCCTCCCGTTCCATCTTGTTGAAGAATACAATTCGTTTTCTACTCCTCTAGGGTGATATCATTTTACATGAAGAAAAAAGTTCTCTCGGATGGCAGTTATACGTTTCGGAAGCACCTTCTAATCAGGGATTGGTGATTCATTATTAGCTTCAGCAGGCGATCCATCTGACATGTAAGGGGAAAAAATTAGCAGCTGTCACGGCATGATGAGTTAATTTCCTGATGGGCCTGACACCGAAAAGCCATTTGGAGACATGGCAAAGGCTGACAAGAAAACCTGGCACTGCTTTATAATTGGAGATAAAGAAAGGGCAGAGAAACAGAACGGGGAGGGCCCCCAGGTCTGCAGGCTGGGGGGGCGCCTCTGAGCGCTGCGTGGTGGTGGGCCGTGGCCCGGGGCCTGGCAGGCTGCGTCCAGGTCCAGGGTGGTCGCTGGAGCTCCCTCGGGGATGGGAGTGGCCTAAGGCCTGGCATTCTCCCAGAGAGGCAGAGCGTGCGTGCTGGCCTTTCCATGGTCACCTTGGTGATTTTCATAATCGGCGCTCAGGATTACCATCGTGGGATGACTTTTCATCACCACGAGAAAGTAACCCATTAAATAAATGTGGAAACCCAGGCGGGCAGGAGGGGTGGGCCTGGGGCAGCAGGCGGGGTTCAGCCTGGCTTCCCTCGCCCCCCACCCCCACCCCTTGAGCTGAGCCTCCACAGGGCACCCATTGCAAGCCCAACGAGATGAAAAAACACTTTGCAGGAAATATCCTGAAGATGGAAATTAGAGAAATCAGAGTATGAAGCCAGCATTGAAGTAACAGGCTGCATGTGCTGGTCTTCACGGGGGAGGAGCTGTCTGCTGAAGGCTCAGCATGTAGCTGTCTAGAAGCGGGCCCCCGCGTCTGCACCCTAAAACCCTCTGGTGTGAAAACAAAGGGGCCCTGCCTATTACAGGCCAGGACACATCGATGACTCTTGGCTTTCTTGGACTCTGGATCTGTAAAATCCACAAGGCAGAGGTGGGTCTTGAACCTCCTGCTTGAGGAGTAAGCCTGAGGGAAAGACCCTTCTTCCACCCAAATGCTTGCGCTCTGCACACAGGACACAACTCTGCTTTTCTCCGGGCTGGACTCAAAGGATACCCCCCTGAAGAGCTCGCCAGCCGGAGGCAGAAGACAGCCCGCATGCTCCAGCTGTGGTCACAAAGCCCATTACCAGAATTAAATAAATCCGTTCTAAATCTCCCAGGCAAAGAATCATTTGCTTCCTCCATGGCCCTGCATTTTCAATACCTTTTAATAAATTCTTTTAAAATGACCTAATTTCAGAGTGGCTTTCAACTTCATAAAAAGACGATTTGTAACCAGGATAAACATGAACACAGGACCAGGCCTCTGGGTCAGCGCCACTTCGGTCCTCTCCAGGATCTCACGTTACCCTTCAAATAGCTTTTTAAGTGGAAGAATGAAAACCAGCCCAAAGTCAGGGTGTGTTTTTTAATTTCCAAACTGAGCTCTGGTTTGAGCTAGAGCTTTCTGAGGCTGATCTGGGCTCCTGCGTGTCCCGTTGGCATCGGGCCCTCCTGTGCAGGAAGCCGCTGGGGAGCCTCAGTTAGAAAGACACCTCCCGGAGCAGGGCCACCTCCGTCCTCGCCTCCACTGCTCCCCAGAGCCGCAGCACATCTGCAGAGCTGTCAGGACTGATGTGTAAATGGGGCCATAACCCCCGAGCACACGCGACGCGCAGGATCCGCTCCCCGCTTCCACCTGTGCTCCTGCTGCAGTTAACAGAGAGAGAAGACATTTTCACATCACAGTTGCAACATATGGTCCATGAGAGAGCATGGTGTTCCTAACCTATGCCTGGGAGCAACGCTGCGAGGGACTTTTCTGGTAAGAGTGGG